CGAGGGCTCGTTCGGATATTCCCACGCTCCGTGAAGACGCTCCCCAAAACCATTTACGAAACGGTCAAGGTCTCGTGGAGCTAGGTCAGTTTCCATTTTCGCTCTTTTGCCCTTATGCTCACAACTCCCCAGGATCTCAATCTGCTTCGTTTTCTGTGGTCGAGGGCTCGTTCGGATACCCCCACGCTCCGTGAAGACGCTCCCCAAAACCGTTTACGAAACGGTTGAGGTCTCGTGGAGCTAGGTCAGTTTCCATTTTCGCTCTTTTGCCCTTATGCTCACAACTCCCCAGGACCTCAATCTGCTTCGTTTTCTGTGGTCGAGGGCTCGTTCGGATATCCCCACGCTCCGTGAAGACGCTCCCCAAAACCGTTTACGAAACGGTCAAGGTCTCGTGGAGCTAGGTCAGTTTGCATTTTCGTTCTTTTGCCCTTATGCTCACAACTGCCCAGGACCTCAATCTGCTTCGTTTTCTGTGGTCGAGGGCTCGTTCGGATATCCCCACGCTCCGTGAAGACGCTCCCCAAAACCGTTTACGAAACGGTCAAGGTCTCGTGGAGCTAGGTCAGTTTGCATTTTCGTTCTTTTGCCCTTATGCTCACAACTCCCCAGGATCTCAATCTGCTTCGTTTTCTGTGGTCGAGGGCTCGTTCGGATAGCCCCACGCTCCGTGAAGACGCTCCCCAAAACCGTTTACGAAACGGTTGAGGTCTCGTGGAGCTAGGTCAGTTTCCATTTTCGCTCTTTTGCCCTTATGCTCACAACTCCCCAGGACCTCAATCTGCTTCGTTTTCTGTGGTCGAGGGCTCGTTCGGATATCCCCACGCTCCGTGAAGACGCTCCCCAAAACCATTTACGAAACGGTCAAGGTCTCGTGGAGCTAGGTCAGTTTGCATTTTCGTTCTTTTGCCCTTATGCTCACAACTGCCCAGGATCTCAATCTGCTTCGTTTTCTGTGGTCGAGGGCTCGTTCGGATACCCCCACGCGCCGTGAAGACGCTCCCCAAAACTGTTTACGAAACGGTTGAGCTCTCGTGGATGTATGTTACGTTCTATTTTTGTCTTTTTGCGCTCATACCCACCAACTGCTCAGGACCTTCTCATGGCTCATTTTGCATAGCCTTGGGCTCATTAGGATACCCACATACTCTGTAAAAATATGCCACAAAAGTTGTCATGACCTTAATTGTTATATCTTTAATATAAAGAAGTATAGTTACATAAATGTGAAAATGGAGGCAATATATTCATATATTAGAGTCTGACAGCCAAGTAGAGCAATACATTAGCTACCACCTACATCAATGACAAAATGGATAGGACTAAAAGCAGGTGATAACTAAGAAATAGTAGAGCAGACTGGCAAAGTCGTCAATGTTGAGCAGGCAGCTGATCGTGGGAAGAAATCACTTTCGTGGGAGAAAGTCAAATTTCAGCGTTACCGCGCTGAAAAAAGTCCTGAGATCCTGGGTAATAAACGAGTCTCTTCGTAAACTCAGAGGACTCGTAACTGTTTAGGATGAACAGCATGACTTGTTAGGGATTTGAACCCAGGGCATACATAGATACAATGCGTACACCTCCCACCTTGACCACTGAGCCAAGTCAATGATCCACCTGGCCTGAAAGCTCGGCACTTTGTAACTTACCCAGCGTAAGACAACTAACCTGGGTCTGCAAGCTCGGTAAGAATTGATTAGTAAATTTTAGCCAGAGTTACAAAAACGAAAGAGTTGCGATCGTTGTAAGTGACTTCTGGGATTCGAACCCAGGCATACATACACTCTGTACACCTCCAGCTTAACCACTAAGCCAAGCCAACGGTGGAAGACAATGTTGGTCGGTATCTTTTAACTGCTGACCATGTCATTCTAATAGCAGCAAGTAAAAAATTTGTTTAGGATTTAAACCGGCATACATAGGTCGGTCAGTATCTTTTACCTGCAGTAAGTAAAAAACTTTTCAAAACACGAATCTATGACTTGTTCGGGATTTGAACCCAGGGCATACATACATATACTACGTACACCTCCCAGCTTAACTACTAGGCCAAGCCAATGTTGAAGACAATGTCAGTCAGTATCTTTTACCTGCCGACCATGTCACTCTAATAGCAGCAGTTAAAAGGACAAATTCTGCGCAGTGACTTGTTCGGGGGGTGAACCTGGTGTATAAGACAACCCGGTGCCTGGCCAAGTCCGGCAAAAAAATGTAACTTAGCTGATGACCATGTCGAATACTTGTTCAGGTGCGATTGAACCCGGTCCTATAAACTCAGCACTGACTTGTTTGGCATTTAAACTACAGTTCAAGCTGGGCCTGGACATGAGACCAATTGGAGTACGAAATCAAGAATTCACAGATTTACCAACAATCTTTGGAAGCCAGCATGGTCTAATGGTAGTTGGCTTCCGGGTTCAATCCCCAGCTTCCAGGTTCAATCCCCGGCCATGCTTATGTTTATGACTCTTTCAACTCTTTTTTGCAATTTGGCCTCGAGGCCTGTGCCGCCATCATTTATGCTTCTGATATAGGGTTGCATCGAGGGTTGTAATTTAACCTGAAAACATCCGTGTTTCCCCCTTTAAAAACCCTCTCGCATTTCAAGGACCCATCTTCACCCCCCTCATCTGCGACATGAATAACTTCACCCCCATGACAATCTGGAGTCTGTTGGGTATCCCTCCACCCAACCCCTACCCCGTAGGTTCTGTACATCTCCATTGGTCATGACCAGCTGATGATTCGTCAGAAAGGAACCCGAGTCTGGTATAATATGTGTAGCGGTGGCCTCATGTTTGCAACCGTAGACTCCACCGGCAGGTTGCCAGACGTGAGCAATCCCCTTTGTACTTCCTTTTTCCCACTAACATGGTGATTAGGGGACGATACTCTTGACCATCATCAATGACGACGGCGAGAGGGTTACCTTACCGTACGTCCTTTTTACTCTATCCAAACCCCCATTTCACCTATTATGAAAGGGCATGTGGCGTAACACAGGTCTCTTAATATGTCATACCATTACCACCTGTATCTTTTTACTTAAAAAAAAATTCATGTCGAGTCTTGTTTGAAAGCCCGGATGAGCAGAACTGATCTGAAAGGCCGGGTGCAACCAGACAGGAAAGACCACGATCCTATCCTAATGGCAGTTATGACCCTGACATGTTGACAGATGTCCCTGTTCTACGTAATAAATAAATCCATGCCCGAGCCTCATGTTTTGCCAGTTAAAAGTGTCAAAAATCCTTTTTTTTGTTCATGACTGCCCCCGATTTCTTTCAATATACAAGGGATCTAGCTCGATACTTCAGAGGCCGGTTGCGGTCTTTACATAGCCCAAGCGTTCCTCGTCCTGCTCCACCACCATGGTTGGAGCCGGAGGCCCAAGCATCTGTTGAAAGGGTAATTAACATGCTTGAAGAAGCATTCAAATCTTCATGTATGTCTCACTTCTAGCCGGCCGATCTTCACTAAGTTTTGGACAGATACAACTACTTGGGACGTCACTTGTCACCGAGACAGAGTGGAAGCAATGAGGAGTTGGAGAAGAAACTCTTGGCACGATTCCCACCGATCTACGAAACAGCCGGGTCCGATATCCCCTACCTCGATCAACCGTGCCATATAACCGACCGGCAGGGTCACATTTTACTTTGGTACTTTCCTGAAATGTTCTCAGAACAGCTTCGGGTAATTACTTTCACTTCATTACACCCTTAGACTTTCCTCACTTTACTAGACATTTATTTGGGATCACACAGGTTCTTTGAGCCCCAAAAAGAGAAGTAATGGGACTTGGCGGGATCACCACCCCGAGAATGAAGGGGTCACTGGGATTGTAAATTTATCACCCAGCTGGTTTTCTCAAGGACATGAAGGTCCCGAGGATCCACTGCGCGCGTCAGCCGATATTCAGGAACCTGCCAA